AGTTTTTTGTATTTTTTAGTAGAGATGGGGTTTCACCGTGTTAGCCAGGATGGTCTCGATCTCCTGACCTCGTGATCCGCCCATCTCGGCCTCCCAAACTGCTGGGATTACAGGCTTGAGCCACCGGCCTCCCAAACTGCTGGGATTACAGGCTTGAGCCACCGGCCTCCCAAACTGCTGGGATTACAGGCTTGAGCCACCGCGCCCGGCCGCTGCAGTTAGTCTTTCTAGTGTCCTTTAATTTAGAACATATCCCTGCTTCACTTTGCTTTTGTGGTTTTCTCCTCTACTTTTCTGATTGTTTTCTCGTGATTAGACTCAGTGAAACATATTTTTGCAAGATATATAGATGTTGTATACCTCCCATTGCATCACAACAAGGGGTATGTAATGTCTGTCAGGTTGTCCAGTTATTGGTGATACTAAATTTGATTGCTAGGCTGGGCGTTGTGGCTCACTCCTGTAATCCCAGCACTTTGGGAGGCCGAGGCAGGTAGATCACCTGAGGCCAGGAGTTCGAGACCAGCCTGGCCAACATGGTGAAACCCCAGCTCTACTGAAAATACAAAGATTAGCCAGGCATGGCAGCAGGCTCCTGTAACCCCAGCTACTCGGGAGACTGAGGCAGGAGAATTGCTTGAACAGAGGAGGCGGAGGTTGCAGTGAGCCAAGATCGCGCCATTGTACTCCAGCCGAGGCAACAATAGCGAAACTCCGTCTCAAAAAAAAAATTGATTTCTTGTTCATAGTTGTGTCTGTCACTTCTCTCCATTGTAAAGCTATTGTGATTAATACGTTAGTCTGAGACAATGTAAATTATCCATATCCATTTTAGTATTCATTAATGAATCTTGCCTGTATCAGTTATTAAACTGGTCATTTCTAATAACAATCCTATTATTCCCTCTACATTTATTAGCTAGCAATTGTCTGTAGAAGCACTTTACTTTTTCTCTGTGCTTTTTTTCTTTTTAAAAAAAAGCTTTATTATAAACTCATAGAATCTTTACTCATTGTGTTATAATCTGTTACTGTTATTCTTCTTTTCGAAGTTCAATTTGTACCAAATTTGAACTTCCTTTCAGCATAGCTCCTGTGTTGTTTTGACGTGACTTTAGACTTTAGGGATTTCTTTGGTTTCTCTATACCATGTTCCAGATTCACCTTGTATAATTATATTTTTTAATAGTTCCACAATATTCTGGCTTATACATTAAAATTTGTATAATGGTATCTCCAGAGAATATTTAGGTTTTCAGTTATTAACTATATTGCCATCAACCATTTTATGCACATAAATGTTTTCCCATTTAGAGGGATTATTGCTTTAAGATAAATTTCCTAAGTGTTCCTAAATTTCTGGGTTAGAGTATATGGATATTGCTTTATAAAAGTATCACGCAACTTTAACACTATCAGTGGCATTGTATGTGGCTCCATTTTACATACATTTGTCAGTAGTGTTTTGTTGCATTTCATTTTTACCAGTTTGTGTGCATGTGTTCCCCAGCCTTCTATGCATATTTTTTCTTACAAAATAACTTTTGCTTATTAAATATACAAAAATAGTACCTCATAATTTTATTATAGATTTCTCTGATCACTGTGGTGCCATATTCATATAATTTAGTTGTATCACTTATGTGTGTGCCCAGACAATTTTCTCTGAATGGTGCTTCTTAGTTTCTCATATTTTAGCAAGATGTGCAGATAAGCTTTAAAGCAATGTTTTTTAACTAGAGGTTTTTATCTGTAGCCTTCAAAACCCATGTAATTGCTTTGGTCTCATCTGGGGATACTGATTCCTTTTTGTTTGGGATGAAGCCAGGCATGTTTTGTTTTTAGAAAGTTCTGCAGGTGATTGTGATGCCCACCATTGTTTGAGCACCACCACTTTGGAGACGTGAAATTATTTCCCCCCATTTTGTTTTATAGCTTGCCAGTTCAGTACAGTATTTACAATAATTCTAAACCAGTAAATGTTAACCACTCAATACTAAGTCAGGATCTGTTATTTTTTCTTTTGCCACTTTATTTTTTATGTTAGTGAAATAGGCATGTAGTATTTTTGGATTGTAGACACATTTTGTCTTGTTATATCTTTTGCCTAAGTGTGATTATTTTGTAATGCGGTCCTATTTATAATAACTGACATTGGTTAAAATCAATTCTTGTATTCCTATTGGTATCTTTTTCCTACTAACATTGTGAAAGTAATGTGAGACATTTCCCATTCAACAATATGCATATTGAGATCATTTGAACTTAAAATTTATCTTTTGGTTTACAGGGCGTGTCTTTAACTTCAGAATGGTTTGCAAAGTATTTGCAATCATCAGCAGCTGCATGTTGGGTAAGTTTGAATTTTTAAAAATAAATTTCATTTTATTTTGAAGAATTATACCATTTATTTACCCAGATAATAAAAGTTTTATTTCTAAGTAGCTATAGCTTCTTGGTCATAATCTTATAAGAAGAATAAACCCTTTCTTATGGGCCGAAAGGGAATATATAAAGAAGATGTTATTTAGTGTACATATATTGAATGTCTCCAAGCTTTTTTAGCTGAAATGGAGTGTTAGGGGAAACTGACGGTCATTTAGTAAATGTTTATTGATGACCTACTGTGTGCCAGGCCCAATTCTTAAATCAGGTTAGATATTTCAGAAAAAGAAAAAAACAAGCCTTCATGGAGTCACAGCCTAAGTAAATGTCAGGTTGTGCTAACTGCTATGAAGGCAAATAGTTAAGAGTAAAGTACATAGAGGGGGTGGGGGATGATATTTTATATAGTGATCAGGACGGACATCTCTGACAAGGTTATAGTTGAGCAAAGAACTGAAAAAAGTGAGAGTGAGCCATGTAAACATCAAGGAGAAGAATGTTCTAAGCAGAAACCATAGCAGGAGCAAAGACCTGAAAGCAGAGTTTACTGGCTTATTCATGCCTAAGAGAGGAGGAGGAGGCTGGAGTGGCTGGAGCAGAGTGAGCAGGGAAACAGTGGAAATGAGGTCAAGGATGTAGGGAGTGGCTACGGCAAAGCCCTGGAGCTTACTTTAAGGGAAATAGAAGGATTTCATGCAAAGGACGACATGATAGAACTTCAGTTCTTGAAAGGATCATTGTAGCATGGAGAATAGAATTTGTTGGGGTAAGGGACCATTTAGGAGAATATTAGAGTAATCTGAGTGAGAGGCAGTGGACCATTCATTGCACAAGGGTGGTATTACAGAAATGAGAGAAGCGTTTACTTTCATCTTTGCTTTGAAGATTTAGCTGGCCGAATTTACTCATGAGCTGGATAAGGGGCAAGAGAGAAAAAAAGTTTCAAGTTTTTCACATGAATAACTGTAAAAATGGAATTGCCTTTTCCTGATAGGGAAAACTGAGAAAGAAAGTTGAGAGGCAAACTCAACAAATGATCTCATTTTGTTATTTATAAAGCAGATTACTTAAACAAAATGGATTAGATTTTATGTGTAAGATCTGATATATAAATTATTGTTCTTTCAAATATAGTCTGAGTTTGTTTTAATGTCATACTATGAGTTTTTCCTTAGTTCTTCTTTCAGTTTCTTGTCTTTATATTTTAGCCTAAAATTTACAATGAAAATGTTTGTGTTATTTCTGTTCCCAAGCGGAAAGTTTATTTTCTACTTAAGTTAGAGGAAAGGTTTTAACAAGCAAGAGAATACAAACAAAAATAAATTATCATTAAAATAGGTTAAAAAAAATTTTTTTTTTTTTTTTGAGACGGAGTCTCACCCTGTTGCCCAGACTGGAGTGCACAATCTTGACTCACTCCAACCTCTGTCTCCTGGGCTCAAGAGATCCTCCTGCCTTAGCCTCTGGGCAGCTGGGACTACAGGTGCATGCCACCACCATACTCGGCTAATTTTTCTATTTGTAGTAGAGACAGGGTTTCACCACATTGAGCAGGCTGCTCTCAAACTCCTGACCTCAAGTGATCTGCCTGCCTCTACCTCCCAAAGTTCTGCGATTACAGCTGTGGGCCACCATGCCTGCCCTAGAATAGGCAAAATGAAAACAAAGTAATTTTTTTCTTTTTATTTATTTATTTTTTAAATTATACTTTAAGTTCTAGGGTACATGTGCGCAACGTGCAGGTTTGTTACATAGGTATACATGTGCCATGTTGGTTTGCTGCATCCATTAACTCATCATTTATAAGAAATAAGAAATTACTTATTTCTCCTAATGCTATCCCTTGCCCAGTCCCCCACCCAAAGACAGGCCCCGGTGTGTGATGTTCCCCGCCCTGTGTCCAAGTGTTCTCGTTGTTCAGTTCCTACCTATGAGTGAGAACATGCAGTGTTTAGTTTTCTGTCCTTGTGCCAGTTTGCTGAGAATGATGGTTTCCAGCTTCATCCATGTCCCTGCAAAGGATATGAACTCATCCTTTTTTCTGGCTGCATAGTATTCCATGGTATATATGTGCCACATTTTCTTAATCCAGTCTATCATTGATGGACATTTGGGTTGGTTCCAAGTCTTTGCTATTGTAAATAGTGCCGCAATAAACATA